AAAAAAAAAAAAAATGACCAGCAAAACAGTAGATATTAACCGAAGAAGGCCCAAACTCCTGCCAAATTACACTCTAGCCCTCTTGCTCGTCACCGCAAATGCAATCCACTCGTCAAAATCTGAGACCAATATCTCGGCCTCCCGTCCGACCCCACCCCCACTCCCTATACTACCAATCCCAACCTCACACCAGCTCTCATGGCAGCTCGCGGAGATGGCCCTCTTTTTTCACTTCGGCCCCAACACTTTCACTAATTCGGAATGGGGCACGGGCCACGCGGACCCTTCCGTTTTCAACCCGGACGCCGTCAACGCCACGCAGTGGGTAAACGTGGCCAAGGCCGCAGGTTTTTCCAGAGTCATCTTGACCACGAAGCACCATGACGGGTTTTGCTTGTGGCCTTCGCAGTACACAGATTATTCGGTGAGGTCGAGCCCGTGGAGGAATGGGACCGGCGATGTTGTCGAGGAACTGGCTGAGGCTGCGAGAGCTAATGGCGTTCAACTGGGCCTCTATCTTTCTCCCTGGGACAGGCATGAGCCCTGCTACGGGAAGACGCTCGAGTACAATGAGTATTATTTGGGCCAGATGACCGAATTGCTTACCAGGTCTACTTGTGTGGGTGTTTTTTGGAGTTTATATTTGGATCTTGCTGTTTTTTTTTTTTTTGAGTTTGATGTGAACTTGTTTGTGCATGTTTGGGGCTGGCTAGGAATGATTTGACTGTGTTGCTGAATTTTATCTTTATGTTTGAGCTGTTACTATAGTGGCAACCATAGTTGGAAAATTGATTTTGCTGCTAGGATGTTGTTCTGGCTTACTGTGACATAAACAGTCCGCTGCTACGGGAAGATCAATATTCTACTACAAGTATTGGGGATATCTGATGTTTATGACTAAAGTTGTTTGGATATACACCAACAATCTATTTCGTCATGTATCCTGAACATGATTATCAGTTGCTTTTATCTTCTTGGTTACACGCAGATATGGTGAAGTCAAAGAGGTTTGGCTAGATGGTGCAAAAGGGGAAGGAGAGAAGTACATGGAGTACTTCTTCGATGATTGGTTTAATGTAATTCATCAACTTCAACCAGGGGCCGTCATATTTTCAGATGCAGGGCCAGACGTGAGGTGGGTTGGGGATGAGGCTGGATTTTCTGGGACCACTTGCTGGTCTCTCTTTAATCAGAGTAATGCCAAAATTGGCGGCACGGATCCTGCGTAAGTCCCACTTTTTTTTATTTTACTGCACATTTTCGGAAATGCAAATCTATTGGCCAATGGGCACATTTTTTTACAGCTTGAAGCTGCACATTGTATAAATGAAAAATTCTATCATATATTGTGCCTCATCTCAAGTCCCAGTGAATATCTTTATATTTAGCAGTTGTAAATTCAAGATAGCTTTTTTGTCCTTTCATGTTTTATGGATGGGAGTCGGGAGATGATTCTTATTCTAATTGCCTACTTACATTCGAGGTTGACCCTGTTCCTGAGCGCTGTAGGACGAGCTATCTTAAGATGAATCACATGTTATTGTACTAATGTGTTTACTTGATTGTTCACTGATAACATGATATTCTGCATTGTAGCAGCAGTAGAAAAGAGCATATTGCGATGTTTCCTTGACTAAGCTGACACAAGGCTGCTGTTTATTTTGTTATCTTTTCTTTTCTCATGAGTGCGTAAAGAACACTCCGAGGTGTGAATATTAAATTTTTTTTTTTACAAAACTAGTGTGCTATTCATCACTAACACATTGTGTAGATGATGCATTTGGATATGGTTTTGATTTAGCTTTATTTTTATTACATAATGCGACTATCTGTTGGCAATCTTAATATTCCAGTATCCCAGGTAGCAGAACAACCAGGGGGGAAAAAATAGTTTTCAACCCAAAAGTTTTCTTCAAATATTTACAAACATCCCAGAATATTTTGTAGTCAACCCAAACCTTGTTATTTCTTATTAATATATTTCGATTATCCCCAATATAATGCTCTGATCTGTGTAGATATTCCGGACAAGGGGACCCATTTGGCCACGACTGGATACCCGCCGAATGCGACGTCTCGATCCGGCCCGGATGGTTCTGGCACCCGTATGAATCCCCAAAGCCTGCACTCACTCTCCTTGATATCTACTACAAATCCGTTGGTCGAAACTGTCTCCTCCTACTAAATGTGCCCCCAAATTCCTCGGGCCTCATTGCCAAAGAAGACATTCAGGTCCTTCAAGAATTCACCAAAATGCGAACCTCCATATTTTCCAACAACCTAGCCAGAGGTGGCTCGGTTTATGCTAGCAGCACCCGAGGCAGTATAAACGAATCTCTTTACAGCCCAGTTAACATTCTTGATGAAAGTGTGCATTCGTATTGGGCTCCAGCCAGTGGGCCCGCATCATCGGGCCCCACATTGTATCTTGATTTTGATGAGGCTGTTGCCTTTAATGTCTTGATGGTGCAAGAGCCGATCCAGATGGGTCAGAGGATTATTGAGTTTCATCTCGATTTCTTGAATGGGGGTGGGAAGTGGGAGGTGGCGGCTAATGGGACCACTGTGGGGTACAAAAGGCTGTTGGTGTTTCCTAGTGTCACTAGTAGGCGGTTGAGGTTTGTCGTGGATAAGAGCCGTGCTGAGCCTCTGGTTTCGTATTTTGGTTTGTATATGGACCCATTTTCGGCTTCTGGACAAGTTCGGGCCGGTTTGAGAGGTAATGGCAGTGAACTCGTGCTGCAAAGTTCGCGCTGGATTTTAAAGAGTTCCTATAAGTAATTTAATTGGGGATGTGATTTGTATTTATAAGTTCATGCATTGCAAGAACGTTCTCTATTTATGAATTGTTTACAATTAAAAGGTTTTTAAGTGTGCATACGCATCTCTTTGGTACAACAGTTTTTTGATATGTGTAACCGTCAGATCACCGTACATTTGTAACTGTGTAAATAATGCCTCTATCTCTGGTATATTTACTATTAGATAGCCTTAACCATATATTTGTAAGAGCATCTCCAACCATGCTTTGTAAATAAAACCATACATTTGTAAGAGCATCTCCAACCATGCTCTCTATATCTGCGTAAAATCCCACTAGTTTTTAGTGTCAACAACTCTAACTCATTTCCTCTATATTTCTTCTTTAAAAGAATATTCTAAGTATATTATTTTTTAATTCTATTAGTTTATTAAATAAACTCTACAATTACATTTTGATGCATTATGTTTTTTTTTTTTTTTTTTTTTTTTTTTTTTTTTTTTT